GACCATTTGGGGACCAGTGTTGCCATTTGGGGAATCAGGACCAGTTAGTACTGGCAGCAAACTGGGCACTTTGTACCAGCAGAAGCCACATGGCTATCATGAGGGGAAGGCTGCATTGTTGAGTTCCAGGCACCAGCCTCTATCCCTGTCCCCATGGCTGCCCTGTTCCTGAGCCCTTTGAGCAAGCTCCAGGCTGTCTGAAGAACAACTTACTGCTATCCACAAAGCAGGTCATCCTGTCTGATGAAGAACGCCCTCTGCTGTGGCATTCACATGGACCAAATGTTTTCACCAGGGCTCTGTCATAAAGCCCTTTCCCAAACCTCCTTGCAGAAGAAAAGGAAGCAGCAGAAGCAGCAGGAATTATGACTCCCACTTAAAAAGAAAAACGTAGTCACATCCATAAAGTCCTTTCCCAAACCACATTATTATCAATTCTTTCATCTTATTTTATTCCAAGTCCTAGACCCATTAGCCACTGCCCAGGAAGTTGCAAATCCTACTTCAAGCCATTGTTCAAGGTTCTGCTCTTTGAAATGATTTTGCTGGTCGCGTGACCTTCAGGGCCTCCAAGGAAGAGTCTGTAACACTGCAGCAATTCACTTACGCCTGGTGCTAACCGTATTTCACAAAATCAGCCGTAAACCCAGTAATGTCTTTTTACATTATTTTCACAGAGGTAAGCGCTTGCCTGTCTCCACTAGCCTCTTCTACTCTACTGACCCTTAAACCTTGGGTTACTGTAGCCAATGTGAGAATTGTGCCTTTGCTGAAACTATTCATTCCAATGTCTAACATTCTTAGTAACTTCATGTATTTAGATAATTCCACTAACACCTCAGCCTTTGGGATTCCTGACCAAAAATCTTTTCTTACTCCCTACCTTGGCCACGTTCTGCCACACCCCGAACCTTGTTGTATCAAGACGCACACTACTTCTAAGCACGGATATATCAAGTCAACCCATTATCTGATCACTCACCATTTCTCTGACCACATGAGGACCTCTAATTCATTGATTCAGCCACATTTCACTGGCCATCACCTTCCTTATGACCCCATTCCCTACCTGAGAAACCATGATCCACAATTACACCCTCCCTTGCCTACAACTTCAACTTCCTGTCCCTTCTCTCCGTCCATCATACTAACCTAGTAATCCTGGGTAAATCCAGTTCTCGTAGCCAAGCAGCCGGCAATTGGGAGAGGAAGGAAACATGACCCAACTAACTGTTCCCACTTTAAATAAATGAACACAAGTTTTAAGTAGACCCTCAGCACTTTTCAACAATCCTACCTTTCACAAGGCAATTTATGCTTCTCTCCTAGAAGACTATTTCCAATCTCTCCTAAGGCTGAGTCACTTAGCAACCACTTCCCTAGGTGTCCTTAAACTTTTCAATCACCACTGCTGTTGCCTTTTCTGGCACCTCTTCTTCTTACCCTCATATATGAAGACGCTCCCTCCCGTCTCCACCCCAGGTTCAGTCCTTGGCCAAGAGAGATTCCATCATCTCACCAAACGCAGTGAGTTACTACCCTTTATTGCCTGGTCACATTTACTCACACTGCAACTCAAATGCAGCTGCCTTTTTTTTTCTTGTTTGAGACAGGGTCTCACTCTGTCGCCCAGGCTGGAGTGCAGTGGCGTGATCTCCACTCACGGCAACCTCCACTTCCTGGGCTCAACTGATTCTCCCACCTCAGCCTTCTCAGTAGCTGGGACTACAGGCATGCACCCGGGTAATTACTTGTATTTTTAGTAGACACAGGGTTTTGCCATGTTGCACAAGCTCATCTTGAACTTATGGGCTCAAGAGATTCACCTGCCTCAATCTCCCAAAGTGCTGGGACTACAGGCATGAGCCACCATGCCCAGCCTGCTTTATTTTCTATAACTGATCTAATCTGTCTCCTGAACATGTGCCGTTTTCTCTATAATTAATCTAGTATTACTCATGAATATCTACTCTAATAAATATCCAGGAAATTTAAAACTTGTCAAACAGTATCTCAATCTCTTCCAGTTAATACTCAGGCTGTGTTGAACTCCTTACCCGGGCTGGTTTAAAACGGTGTCTCAATCTCTTCCAGTTAATACTCAGGCTGTGTTGAACTCCTTACCCGGGCTGGTTTAAAACGGTATCTGGGCCGGGCGCGGTGGCTCAAGCCTGTAATCCCAGCACTTTGGGAGGCCGAGACGGGCGGATCACGAGGTCAGGAGATCGAGACCATCCTGGTTAACACGGTGAAACCCTGTCTCTACTAAAAAAAAAAAAGCAAAAAACTAGCCGGGCGAGGTGGCGGGCGCCTATAGTCCCAGCTACTTGGGAGGCTGAGGCAGGAGAATGGCGTAAACCCAGGAGGCAGAGCTTGCAGTGAGCTGAGATCCGGCCACTGCACTCCAGCCTGGGTGACAGAGTGAGACTCCGTCTCAAAAAAAAAAATGATATAACCATACAGGGCCACTGTCATGTATGTGGTCTTTCGTTGACCAAAATGTCGTTATGCAGTGCATGACTGTAGTTATCAATATCTGTCTTTTTAATTCTATTATGATTTTTCCTTTCCCATGTAACTGTTAATTCCTACAAACTAACATTTTCATTCCATACTTAATTCAGATGGAAGGCGGCAGAAGGACAGGGACAGTTAGGAAGAAAATTCTGCCACACATTCATACTAAAACTAAGGGCTTACTATGTTAGACACTGGAGCTACACAAATTGAAAGACACACTATTCTCAAAGACTTCACAATGGACAGTGAATAAAGAGAAACAAATTTTACTTACAAGATGATAAGTAATACAGAAACTTATCCCTTAAGGACAGGCATGCAACAGTGGCAGAAAACTACATCAAACAATGCACCAACATTTCCCTAACACTATTTTCAGGTTGTAGTGATTCCCAACCAGGCTCTTCGGGACACTATAACGACTAAAATGGGAGTGTTCAAACAGAGCAACTAACTACCACAACACAAGTGAACTGTGTGTCCTGGCAATCCAAAATAAGTGCAAATATTTTGTGTCTGTGTAAAAGACTAATAAGTATTTGTTAGTCATTATGAAGAATCTGTTTAGCTTGTTTTGTTTAGATGCTTAGCATTTACTTATATCCCTTTTTCTATGTTTATGTGTGCTGATTTCCCCACTGGATAACTATGGGTGGGAAGTAGAGCGAGCCTGCCTTCTATCTCAAAAGCCAAAAAGGCTAAATACCTTCTCAACCTCCCTTGCAGCTAGGGTGCAGGCAGTGACCTAAGTTTAGCCAATCCAAAACACTCACTGAAGACTTTGAACAAAAGCTAGTACCACAAAGAAGAATGGTTGAGAGAATAACTCTCCAGCAACAGCCAGATTCCCAAGGAGCAGCAGCAGCAGCAGCAGCACCAGGGTTCAGTGTCCATGGTGTTCGCGGTGCATACTGCAGAATCCAGTATTATCAGGCGACAGAAGTGATATACTCCCCAGACCCCAGTCCCAACTACTTTTGCAGTGCAATCCTGACTTGGTTCCGGCCCATGTCCAGTCAACTCTCGGCAGACTTTAAAGCAACACTGAGAACTCCCCCAGTACTCTTTCATGAAATTCCTTTTTTGCTTAAATCCCCACAGTTACTGCAAACAGGAAAAATGAATGAGACTAATGAAATAGTAAAGTAAATTAACAAGCATCCCGCCCACAAAGGGTTTGTGTAGTTTATTTTGGAAATGCACAATTCCGTGTGTCACAGGACTCAAGTGCAGCTCTAATGATTGAATTGCCAATTTGTCACCATTTATTCATTCCAAAACTTTTCTGTCCCAAGAACTATCTTGAAAGGAATGAATTGTTTTCAACCACACAGTTTACAAAAACTTCAAGGTGCTGCTCTCTCCCCCAAACAGATGTTTTCGCTGTTATCATTACTTCAGAAAGCAACAGACAAAATTATTATTTGGTAGCTTTAAAATGCAAAGTCATATTCCTGAATTATGAATCAATGAGAACAAAGTAAGAACAACGGTCAAATTACAGATATGAGTTTTGCACTTACCGTCCCACCTCCACCCACCTAAATCTCAGACTGGCAGGTCTGAAAAGCGGCCATGCACAAAATCATTGTACTCGTCTCAAAACAGAACTCTTCTTCCTCGCACACAGAAGCTCAATAGTATTTGTTGACTGAATGCAATTCCCATGACTATGTATGTATGTTACACATTTCCATAAATTGCTTTCACATAGCACTTTACACCGGCACAGTGCGTCCAGGCTTCCAAAACACTTTCACGTGAATCCCTGCATCTAGAAAGGTGGTTAAGAGTTAGACACGCCTGCACAGCCATTAAACGGCACAGCACACGGGGGCCCGTGTCTGATGCTCCCACCGCACATTAATTGCCCCTCTATTTCAGCCCTTCTGGTACACTGCAATTATCTCTGTCACTTCATCTGCTCCTTAAGGAGGTCCCGTTCATCTTCGCATCCCCAGGCCTCCCAGAACCCAGACCTCAGAGGTGCACGGTAAACATCAAGACTCTTCCACCTCCTGCAAGCCTGACGCTTCACCGGCGGGGCCTCTGCAGGGGAGCCTGATTTATACACATCCCGGCTCCCACCCACCCCACGCCCGCCACTTGTGATTTCCACAGCCGCACCAAGGACGCTTGTCGCACAGGACGCCGACTTTTGGTTTCCCAGCAAAATTACCGGGCACAACGCTTCCCCCTTAAGTCTGCCCAACGGCTTTCCCATTTCCACCGCAGCCCAGGTTGGGGGGCAGTGGCTGAGCCCGGGCCCCCTCCCCAGCCCCGCTGCGGCAACCGAGGGGGGTGTCCGGGCGGGGCCTGTCAGCCGCGACCCGCCCCCGGGCACACGCGCGTCAGGGGCAGCCCCGCCAACCTACCCGTGGAGCCCCATCCAGCAGGAGTCCCGCGGCCGCCGCCCGCCCGACGCCCCCAGCAGCCCACACAGCTCGCGACTCAGGTGGGCGAGGGCGCCCCATACGCACCCGAGGAGGCAGCGGTCGCAGACAACGCCACGACTCCCCTTGCACACCGTGTACGCCAAGGGATCCGAGCGGAAGAGCAGCTCTCCGGGGCGCAGCGCGGTCACGGCGCGCAGCCCGTTTCCCCTGTTGGCGGTGGCGAACTTTTCCACCTTCAGCGGCTCCATCCTCCCGCAGCTCCGGCACCCCAGACCGCTGCCCGCGTCCAGCAGCTGGCGTCTCACGGGCTGCCGGGACCCGCGCGCCTGCGCCCTGCGCGCCCACGTACGCCCGAGGGGCGGGGCGGGCGCGATGGGGCATGAGCATGCGCGGATGGAGTCTGGAGGGACGCCTGGAGCGGAGTGTGTGGGACCCCGAGGGAGTCGTAAGGCTCCGCGTGCGGCTCGTGCCCACGGCGCCTGCGCAGAAGAAAGGCGGGTTTTTTTCCCTCTAACATTGTATTATGATAATTTTAACGCATACGGAACAGTTGAAAACAGTGCAATGGACACCTGTATTCCTCCGCCTCAATCAGACAACCCAGCACTTTGCCATTTCTGCTGGTTGCTCTCTCCCCACCTGTAGCTATGTATGCATGTATTGTCGTTCAACTATTTCAAAGTTGCAGGCATCGTGACATCACAACTAGTACTTTACATCGTAACTTTTTTTGGTTCTGGGACGGAGCCTTGCTCTGTCGCTCAGGCTGGAGTGCAGTGGCGAGATCTCGACTCACTGCAACCTCTGACCTCCGGGTTCAAGCGATTCTCCTGCCTCAGCCTCCCTAGTAGCTGGAACAACAGGCATGTGTGTGCAATCCTCCCGCCTCGGCCTCCTGACTAGACGGGACTATAGGCACACGCCACCATGCCTGGCTAATTTTTTTTACTTTCTTCCAGAGACAGGGTCTATCTATGTTGCCCAGGCGAATCACAATCTCCTGGCCTCAAGTGAACCTGAACCTCCTGCCTCGACCTCTCGAATTGCTGGGATTACAGGTGTGAGCCACCACACCCAGCCTAAATTTCTTTTTTGTTTTGTGGGTTGTGTTTTGTTTTGTTTTGTTTTGTTTTTTGAGACGGAGTCTCTGTCACCCAGGCTGGAGTGCAGTGGCATAATCTTGGCTCACTGCAACCTCTGCCTCCCGGGTTCAAGTGATTCTCCTGCCTCAGCCTGCCGAGTAGCTGGAACTACAGGCGCCCGCCACCACACCGGCTAATTTTTGTATTTTCAGTAGAGACGAGCCTTCACCGTGTTAACCAGGATGGTCTCGATCTACCCTCGTGATCCACCCGCCTCAGCCTCCCAAAGTGCTGGGATTACAGGAGTGAGCCACCGCGCGTGGCCCACCCAACCTAAATTTCTGAGTTTGGACAAATGTGCCATGGTAATGCAAAATGTCGTTATTAAGGGCAGCTGGATGGAAAGTGTAGGAGTAACTATAGTACCTTTCAATTTTTCTGTGTATCTAAAATTATTTCAAAAGTAAACATTTATTTTAAAACATGAAGGTGGTTATGCTTCCATGAGTGTAAAGTACAAAAGGAAGGTTCATGGTGCCCTCAGAAGTCAGAACACTGGTTTCAGGGCTGGGGGTGCTGGGAGGGGCTGGGCGTGGTTGGCTTTGTGATCTAGGGGCTGGTGTGTGAATATCTTTTGAGCAGTGCACTTACCAGGGATGTAAGTCATATCTTAATAAATTTTCATAAGTTTGACAAAAAGTAAAATGAGGATGGGAAGCTTGTTTGGGTTGTGGGGCCTCGGGTGCTTATCCAACCATGAGCTCTGGCCCAGATGCTTCTAGAAGCCTGGAGGGAACTGAGAACATTCCAAGTAGAGGTGGCAGAGTTAAGGCCCCGAAGTGGGAACACAGTGCTGCACATCCCCAGCTGGGAATGGGGTGTCCATGGCAAGTCCATGTCCACGTTGTGGCTCGGTGCAGTGAAAGCCAATCTCAGCCCCCTCCGCAGTGTGATTAACCTGCCAGCAGGTGGCCAGCTGGTCCTCCTGGGAAATGGTGCCAACCCCGGGATTGGCACGAGACCAAGTGTCTCGTCCACAGACGAGCGATGGTGTCAGCCTGGTGAGCCTCGGTAAGGGCACGTGCAGGATGCTGAGCCTCTTCCATTCCCATGCCTGTCTCAAGGCCACTTGCTCCGTGGGCCCATCCAGCAAGCATGGTGGCCGGGAAAGACGCCAGCTGCATCCACACAGCGTGCCGTTTTGCTCACCGCAGGACCAAGAGCATCCTGCGTAGTAATTCTCTTTGGTGGGAGCACTGGAAACATGAACCACGGATACCTTCAGCGTCTGAGCCACCGAGGTGAGGGCTGCAGGGCACCCTGCTGTCAGGAAACCCTGCACTGGCAGCTGGAAGGCACATGGTGGTGGCACCTGCTGTGGCTGCCACAGTTGCTGCGAGGCTTCGGGATCTCGCCGGCCTCTGCAAGGTGAATTGTGACAGTGCAGAGCTCCGCAGTGCCAGGGTCCCCCGCATGGCCATGCTGACTGCAGCTGGGAGCCCGCCACATCCCTGGTTCCCCGCTCTTTCCAGGCCTGGGGTCTAGGCCAGGCCCCTCTTGGCCTAGGAATTGTGCCCTGGGAGGGGGACACTGTCCCACAGGTTGGGATCGAGGACCCAGGGCATGGTGCTGGCTGGCTGGGCTGCGGGGATGCCATGCTCACCTTTTTCTCTCATGGCCTTGACGGGACCAGCTTCCTCATTGAACAGCATTTTCCAAGGTGTCTGGGGCTGCAGGGCAGCTGGTGCAGTGCCACCCTGGATCCTTCTAGGCAAACCAGTCACTGGCCACCAAGGGGGCCAGATGCAGGTGCCCATGCTGCAGTGGGGGCATCTCCCAACTTCCCTCTTAGTCCTGATGGGCCTGGGCAGGGCCTGATATCGGGGTCCCCATGAGCTTCCTGGGCTAAGCCTGCCATATGGTCCCAGGGCTGTCCAGGACACATTCAGAAAGGACACGAGCCCAGCAGCTCGGTTTGAAATTATAAAGGAACCAAGGGCCCCCCACATCCAAGTCCACTGGGAGTCGGAGCATGGAGTTCTGCTGCAGGTACCTCCAGGAACCCCGAGGTCCTCCCTGAGCCGAGGCCAGGCTGGGCACACCATAAATCCTGGGTGCCCCCAGAGAGTAGCCTGCTGCCCTGGGCTCCACAGAAGCCCCCTCATGCCCCTGGGCCTTGGCCACATGGAAGCCACACCAGGACAGGGTGTGACAGGATGAGGAACCCATGGCAGGAAAGTGGACCAAATGGGCCCCTGGAACCAGGCTGGTGGGCAGGGAGGGGCCTGCCCATCCCCCTTGCACAGGGCCTTCCTGTCATATGAAGCCAGCACAGGCCTGGGTGCTGAGAATCCTTGCTTGGGTTTGGCTGAAAGAAAAACATGTGGTCAGACAGCACCCCCTGTGGGCCCAAAGAGTCCTTTCTGGGCCAGGCCCCACCTGCCTGGGTCTCTGGAGTCCTCACAGGGTCTCTGTGTGGCCCCTGGGGTCTGACACTGAGGACACACCTGCAGGCTGCTGATTCTGGAGGGAGGGGTGTGTGTCGCCTGCCGTGGGGAAGCTGTCGGGACACAGCAGGTGGCTCCTGGGACCGCCCCCCAGGCTTCGGGCTGGCTGGGGGCTTCCTGCCACATGCCCTCATCCCAGGGCTGTTGGGCCTGGGATCCGATCCCCTGTCAGAACTCAGGTGGGAGGGGCCTTGGCTGTCACCCAGCCCCCTTGCCACCTCACATGGGGACCTGTCTCCACAGTGGGTAAGAGATCCCAGATCCGGGGCCCCCTCTGCCCTCCTGGGCTGCCCGGTCCATGCCAGGACAGATCATTCCCACACCTGGCTGAACTCTTGGCTCTGGCTCTGGCCAGGGGTCCCACCTGTGCCCTTGCCCTGAATGCTCTGAGGGTCAGGGACACTGATTCCCTTGTCTCCCTGGCTCAAGCCTTGTTGTCCTGGCACCCTGGGAGGGGTGTTCAGGAGTGAGGGACCTATGCTGCTCTCTGAGGCTGTCAGTGCTTGCAGGGAGGGGCAGGGGGGTCCCACAAATGGTTCTGGCTCCTCCAGTGCCATTAAGGGCCCCGTGGGGGGTGGGGTGGGACACCATGGAAAGTGGGAGGGGGCTTGCTGGAGAGGTCTTGCCCACATCCCCTCCTGCCTGCACAGCATGTCCAGTGCACACGCACTGAGCTCCTGCCCTGAGGACCGGGGGGCCTATTGTACGTCCTTAGAGTCCAGGAGGAGGAGGAGGAAGAGGAGGAAGAGGAAGACCCAGGTAGTGGGCCTGGGGGTCCGGGGCACTCCCCCACTATAGACTCCGCAGAGGGTGACTCAGGAGGAGACCTGGTATGGAAGCCCACCTGGGGGTGGCAGGTCCCCATGCTTCCTTGTTAGTTTCCTCGTAGAGGCCCGATGGTGCCCGAGAACTGCATCTTCACCCAGGGCCTAGGTATGGGAGAACCGGCCCCGAAAATGTGCCCATGGGCCAAACCTGGATGTCTTCATGAGGCCCTCTAGGGACAGGGTGGGTATCAGGCCAGGAGAGTTCCCTGGGAGGGGTCAGAGCCCATACCTCATTGCCACCTCAACCATCTCCCACTGGGCGGTGCCGGATCCTTTGATGGCCACCCCAGGGGTCCAGATGTGCATAGGAGGCTGTGGCTGGGGTTTGGCCTGGGCAGGGAAGTGCTCACCACACTCCCGACTTTCATCTGGAACATGTAGGAGGTGGGCTTGGTGTCACTGTGCCCTGCCCAGCCCACCTGGCCAGACGTCCCCCTGGGCCAGAGCAGAGGATCATGGGGACAGTGTGAGGAAGCTGCCCTCAGGCCAGTCAGAGTCTGACCGCAGCACTCCCCAGGTCCCACTGGACACACATGGACTTACTCCTCTGAACCTTAAAGGCAGTGCATGCCATCGGCGTCAACACCTGTTCCCCTTCTAGCAAATACACGTCCCACAGGTGCAGGTTGAGCCTGAGAGAGATCTATGGGGACAGCAGGCACGGGAGGACCCGGCCCTTCAAGGCTGGGGGCTGGTGGCTTGAGCTGGGCCCACTGGGACTTCAATCCCCAGAGTCAGTGACGCTCCCCATGAGGGTCATCTGACCCCTCCAGGAGGCTTGGTCAGACAAGGTCTTGCAGCTCCTCATGGGGGGCACTCATTTCAGTGGGATGTGGCTTCTGGAGAGAGGGTCCTCCCCAGGGCTTGAGGCTTCCAAGCTCTCCCAGGCTGGGTGCTACCCCAGCCTTCCCATGAGGCGGGACCTGAGCCCCAGCCTCTGCCGTGGG